CACTAGGCACCACCAATAATATGATGGCAACACACAAGAAACAACAGCATAAGGGAACATAGTCCATCTTTAGCAATTAAATACATATTGAAAACAATTTGATACATATTGAAAACAAAATTCCCCAAAGCTTTCTAATTTAAGAAAACAAAGATTTCAGGACATACTGGTTATTATGGAAGGGTTTTGAAAACCCTTTCTAGTTTAGAAAAACAAGCGATTAAGGTAAGAGATATGATAAAGAATTGTGAAGCTATATATGATACATTAAAAAAACCCTTTCTTTTTCTCATTGTTAATGGGTTTCTTATGAAGTTGGTCAGCAATGTGTTCAGAAGCAATAAAATCAGAATGGCAGTAGATGGAAGGCAACTAGTTTATGGGAATCACCATCACTTGATGCGACTATTTCATAAAATTTTTAAAGCAAAGAGAAAAAATCATAGAACAAAAGTTCAGAGCTTTTGGTCTCCAAATATTTTGGACTTTGGTTCCAAGATTCTCTGGCAAGGAGTCATCTTTTTAGCTGGAGATTATGGAAGTAAAAAACCAAAACATCTGAAGAACCAAAGAGGATGAGCTTATATACCTTGATAGTTATATGGCACCTCAAAGTTCAATGTCAAGCTAGTCTGAACAAGGGAATGATAACTTCATGTCATCTACTGTGTACCTGAGAACAGTTGGCTAGTACATTGTTGGAAACAGAATGCAGAAGTAGATTAATCAACCTAATAAAAAAACTGTTGCTCTATTTATGACAGATAACACTTTCAACTGTTGAAAGACTTTGGATCCAGACTATTTCAGATAAGATTTGCAGAACACTAATTAGATGGGCAGTCTACGATTCTCCATAAACAACAGCTTTTGCTGGCTGGATCTGATGTTGCACACCAGTAATATCCAGAGGGCTACACGCTGCCTACCCCCACACATTCAATTTAATGATTTACCACCTTCCTGGTATATAATATAGCATATAATAAGAAGGAAAGTGGTTACTAATGCTGATGATAGGATGATTTGGTTTGTTACAATACATCATTGTTGGAGAGCCAGTATGGTTTGCCGCTTTGAGTGCTGGACTAAAGGTGCATTGACACTGTAGAATTAACACAATTTGACACATTTTAACTGCCATGACAGAATGGCATGGAATTGTGGGAGTTGTAGTTTTACAAAGTCTTTAGCCTGCTCTGTCAGAGTGCTGGTGTCTCACCAAACCACACATCCCATGAGTTCATAGCACCTAAGCCATGGTAGCTAGAATAATATCACACTACATTAGTTCTACAGTGTAGATGCATCCTAGAATTCCAAAAGACTGGGGTTTAAATTCTCACTCAGCAGTGAAAGATCTTGAACAAATCATGCTTTCCCAACTTAAGAATGCAATGGCAAACCTTTTCCAAATAAATCTTGCCATAAAAACCCATGAAAGTGTTGCTTTCAGTTGTAATTTGCCTGAAGAAACAGAAACAACGGCCAAAGTTGTTCATAACCCAATGAAATCAAAGCATCTAGGAGGTGAAGCAACCAAGGCTGGACTTCTATTGCCATATAATGCATTATTTAGTCAGTGTGGACCCATATAATAGTCCAAACTGCATTATATGGGCCTACATGGATCATATAATGCAGTTCCCAATGGCACTACATGGCATTGTTGATCTAGCTTCACTTAGGAACCCTTAACACGTCTCTCCCTGATTCTCCTGACATTTTACTCTACAAAACTTCCCCAAAGTTTCAATACAACTTTGCAGTAGCGAAATACAGCTGGACAGAGGAAGAGCAGTAAATGCCTCAGAAATGCCCTTGCAACACAGCTCAGAGCAGCCCATTCCATAGCATGGAGCACCATATGCAGAACATATGTTGCCGCTTTAGATTGATGGCATGGCATAAATCAATATAACAGAACCTTCCTGGGCTGGAGATCATAGGCACATATAGGCTCCAAATGAAGTACAAGAGGGTATGATGGAGGGGGAAGAGGGTTACCCTTCTAGATCCCTGCTCAACTTGAGCCCACATGGTTTTTGTCCCGATTTTCTAACACAGGCATGCAACTATTACAAAAGAGAGAATGAAAGTGATGTAACAGCAGGACGGCCTACGGAAAAAAAGCAAGGATTCAACACTGTGTGCAATTCCAGCAGTGGGGAAGGGGCACATCCCCCAGCACAACACTCTGCTGGGATGTCGGTGCCAAGCGATGCCCATTTAAGGACAAAAGCAAGCGACTCGGAGAGCCATTGTGCGACGCGTGAGAGAGTCTACACCCTACAAGCCACAAAGGGCTGATCTCGACTCATTCATGTGCTGTGGGAGGATGTGACTGACTCGCTGCCTGTTTCTTCTGCTGGGTGACTGAAAGTGTCGCCAAAGTTTTCCAAGGCATACTTTTTTTTGGACCTTAAAATGAATTGATAGCATTCTTAAAAATGGCAAGGCGTGGGAATCAGGAGCATGGCAAAAGACTTGTATAAAATAGGATTTTATTGTGTATTTTATAATGTATTTAATAATCTGGTGCTCATGTATTTATTTATTTGCCTTGCCTTGTATGTGAAAGACCTATGGTCTAAGCATCGAATAAACTAAATGACTTGTATAAATATGTGAGAGGAAGCCATAGGGAGGAGGGAGCAAGCTTGTTTTCTGCTTCCCTGGAGATTAGGGTACGGAATAATGGTTTCAAACTACAAGAAAGGAGATTCCACCTGAACATTAGGAAGAACTTCCTGACTGTGAGAGCTGTTCAGCTGTGGAACTCTCTGCCCTGGAGTATGGTGGAGGCTCCTTCTTCGGAGGCTTTTAAACAGAGGCCGGATGGACATGTGTCGCGGTGCTTTGAATGCAATTCTCCTGCTTCTTGGCAGGGAGTTGGACTGGATGGCCCATGAGGTCTCTTCCAACTCTATGATTCTATGAGAGGAAGCCATAGGGAGGAGGGAGCAAGCTTGTTTTCTGCTTCCCTGGAGATTAGGATGAGGAAAAATGGCTTCAAACTACAAGAGATTCCATCTGAACATTAGGAAGAACTTCCTGACTGTGAGAGCTGTTCAGCAGTGGGACTCTCTGCCCCGGAGTGTGGTGGCTCCTTCTTTGGAAGCTTTTAAACGGAGTCTGGATGGCCATCTGTCAGGAGTGCTTCGAATGCAGTTTTCCTGCTTCTTGGCAGGGGGTTGGACTGGATGGCCCATGTCCAGGCATGTAGCCGGGGGGGGGGGGCCGGGGGGCTTCAGCCCCCCCCCCCCAAATTCTCATGGTGGTTCGCGAAAAGGCCTTACTGGTACATTATTTAAACTGTTATGTTTATTCATATCATGATCTGATCACTATGCTCAATATATCTCATATGCATGGGGGTATTGGGTTTGCTAGGGTAGACCCTCTTTCACTCAGACTCAGCCCCCCCCCCCATCAAAATCCTGGCTATGGGCCTGGCCCATGAGGTCTCTTCCAACTCTATGATTCTATGACTTTGGCACTTTGGAAAGTGGCAACAAATGGGAACATGGGAGGCAGGGGAGGCCTCAAGGGATGTGCTGTCCTTCTGTGCCTCTGGATGAGGATTCCAAGAAGAGTTCCAATCTGTGGGAGAAAGAAGTTGTGCCTCCCATCTATGGAAGGAAGAAGTCATAACCCCCCAATCTGTGAAAGGAAGAAGCCATCCCTCCCATGTATGGAAGAAGGAACTCATAGAATCATAGAATCAAAGAGTTGGAAGAGACCTCATGGGCCATCCAGTCCAACCTCTGCCAAGAAGCAGGAATATTGCATTCAAATCACCCCTGACAGATGGCCATCCAGCCTCTGTTTAAAACTTCCAAAGAAGGAGCCTCCACCACACTCCGGGCAGAGAGTTTCACTGCTGAACAGCTCTCACAGTCAGGAAGTTATTCCTCATGTTCAGATGGAATCTCCTCTCTTGTAGTTTGAAGCCATTGTTCCGTGTCCTAGTCTCCAAGGAAGCAGAGAACAAGCTTGCTCCCTCCTCCCTGTGGCTTCCTCTCACATATTTATACATGGCTATCATTCATAGGAGCCCCCGGTGGCGCAGTGGGTTAAAGCACTGAGCTGCTGAGCTTGTTGATTGAAAGGTCGCAGGTTCGATTCCGGGGAGCGGCATGAGCTTCCGCTGTCAGCCCTAGCTTCTGCCAACCTAGCAGTTCGAAAACATGCAAATGTGAGTAGATCAATAGGTACCGCTCCGGCGGGAAGGTAACGGCGCTCCATGCAGTCATGCCGGCCACATGACCTTGGAGGTGTCTATGGACAATGCTGGCTCTTCGGCTTAGAAATGGAGATGAGCACCACACCCCAGAGTCAGACATGACTGGACTTAATGTCAGGGGACTACCTTTACCTTTAATCATATCTCCTCTCTGCCTTCTCTTCTTGAGGCTAAACATGCCCAGCTCCTTAAGCCACTCCTCATAGGGCTTGTTCAGTTATGTGAGGGAATGTTGCATCCAAATACAAAAAAAGACTTCCCTGTCCACTTCCTTCCAGTCATAGAATCATAGAATCATAGAGTTGGAAGAGACCTCATGGGCCATCCAGTCCAACCCCCTGCCAAGAAGCAGGAAAATTGCATTCAAAGCACCCCTGACAGATGGCCATCTAGCCTCTGTTTAAAAACCTCCAAAGAAGGAGCCTCCAGCACACTACACATCCCCAAAACATGTCATGGTGGGATGCTATTGCTAGTGGCCCAGCCTTCCCTCCACCCCACTGAGTTGAAAGATTTTGGGTCCACATAATGAAAAAAAGGGGGGGGTACCACAACAGGGGGGAAATCAGTCCACCAGGCTTCTTCTAATTAACTTGAACGCCTTGGCCATAGCAGCCCCTAACCTACCCCCCCCTCCTCTCCCCTCCCCTTTGTGTGTGGAAAGAAGTCATAAAGCGCGCGGCAAAACCAAGAAAGACATCTCTTTTCCCTACCCCCCCCCCACCTCCTCCCCACACATACACACACCCCTCACCTCGACTTCCCAGCCGCTCAAACCCCGCAGGAGGATAAGGAAGAGGGGCAAAGCCAAGGCAAGCCGAACAAACCCGAAAGGAAGGAGGAGGCGCGTGGCTCCAAGGTGCGCTTCCTCTCAGCGCGCGCCCAGGGTGGGTGTCCCAGCCCCTCGTAGCAAGGGAGAGAGCGCGAGCGGGAGCGCGCGGGCACGACGGCTGCGCTCTTTCCCACACACATACATACATACACCCCGCCCCTTTCCGAAAGCGCGGCCCCGAGGCTCGCCTTGTAAGGGCTGACAAGGGCGGGGCGTCGGGGCTCGGCTGCTGAGTCACGAGTTCAGGCCCCGCCTCCTCGTGTAGCCCCGCCTCCTCTCCTTTTCTTCTTCTTTTGTTGTTTCGGTAGCAGGCTAGAGAGGAAACCAAAGGAGGGGGAGACCTGCTTCCTTAAAGGGAAGGGGGGGGGGGCGCCCTCCAGCTGGCTTACATTTGGCACTGAGCCCTGTTGCTTTGGGATGGGATTTGCGCCTTGGTGACCTCTCAAGAGCGCCCAAACTGCAGAATGTAGGCAATCTGGCGCTGTCTTCACTGCCATGGGACTCTCTCTGACAGAGGCCAGTCTCAGGCAACTAAGCAGAAGTTGTATTGTCCAAACATCCAATTCACCATGGAAAAAGAAAATGAAGGAAGACTGCCTTTTCTAGATGTCCCAGTCATCCGTAAACCAGATCAACAATTGGGTCACACAGTTTACAGAAAACCCACACACAGAGAGCTGTTTGTTGTTGTTCATTCGTTCAGTCGTCTCCAACTCTTCGTGACCTCATGGACCAGCCCACGCCAGAGCTCCCTGTCGGCCGTCACCACCCCCAGCTCCTTCAAGGTCAGTCCAGTCACTTCAAGGATGCCATCCATCCATCTTGCCCTTGGTCGGCCCCTCTTCCTTTTGCCTTCCACTTTCCCCAGCATAATTGTCTTCTCTAGGCTTTCCTGTCTCCTCATGATGTGGCCAAAGTACTTCAACTTTGTCTCTAGTATCTTTCCCTCCAGTGAGCAGCCGGGCTTTATTTCCTGGAGGATGGACTGGTTGGATCTTCTCGCAGTCCAAGGCACTCTCAGAACTTTCCTCCAACACCACAGCTCAAAAGCATCGATCTTCCTTGGCTCAGCCTTCCCTAAGGTCCAGCTCTCACATCCGTAGGTGACTACAGGGAATACCATGGCTTTGACTAGGCGGATCTTTGTTGCCAGTCTGATGTCTCTACTCTTTACTATTTTATCGAGACTGGACATTGCTCTCCTCCCAAGAAGTAAGCGTCTTCTGATTTCCTGGCCACAGTCTGCATCTGCAGTAATATTTGCGCCTAGAAATACAAAGTCTGTCACGGCCTCCACATTTTCTCCCTCTATTTCCCAGTTGTCAATCATTCTTGTTGCCATAATCTTGGTTTTTTTGATGTTTAGCTGCAACCCAGCTTTTGCGCTTTCTTCTTTCACCTTGATTAGAAGGCTCCTCAGCTCCTCCTCGCTTTCGGCCATCAAAGTGGTGTCATCTGCATATCTGAGGTTGTTAATGTTTCTTCCAGCAATTTTCACCCCAGCTTTGCACTCATCAAGCCCCGCACATCGCATGATGTGTTCTGCATACAAGTTAAAAAGGTTGGGTGAGAGGATGCAGCCTTGCCGTACGCCTTTCCCAATCTTGAACCAGTCTGTTGTTCCGTGGTCAGTTCTTACTGTTGCTACTTGGTCCTTGTACAGATTCCTCAGGAGAGAGAGAGAGATATCTACATAAAAACTCCAACGATGCTGGTACAGCTGTACCAGGAGCTCCAATTTTATTTGCTTTGAATTAAATGTTTGTTTGCAATCCCAGGCTTAGGATTTTGCAGCAGGGTGGCTTCCTGTTATAGTTTGCAATCATAGAGCAGGCCACCTGTCAATTATCGTTAGGTTCCCTGGTCCCGCCCCTTTTTGAGTTTTGGAGGGAATATGAGCCTTTTTGAGTCAGTTCTCACAGAAAAGCTTCCATGCAGGACATAATTTCAAGAGCTCCTGTAGAAAGTTTTGTCTTCTACGGCTTGGCTGGGAGACATACAACTTTACAGCCAGGGAGAAAAGGCTCTACGTCTTGGCCGAGGAGATATACAGCCCACAGCTTGGCTGAGGATCTTACAGCCTTACAGCTACTTTTGCTGAGGGACTTCAGTCAGCCATCACTGAAACCTGAACTTCTTTTTCCCTGGAAGTCTACAAAGCTCTGCTTGGTAAGGGTCTCTCGCGGAAGCCAGACGCAGTTGGTACCGGGTGCAGGGGCTCCATGCCAACAGAGGCAAGTACAGACTGCCCAGATTAGAAGTTAAGGATTTCCCCATTAGTTAATTAAGTTAAGAAGATAGTGCCTGTTCCCAGTGAACAAGATTGCAAGAGCCAATAGACTGTTAAGAAAGCTTGAAAGTACCTGTTTGTTTTCATCAATAAAGAACTTTGTTGGATTTACTTTAAGCAATCTAAAGACTCTGTTTGGGGGAATCTAAGGGCCTTTAATCTGAGGCAGCCCCGGCATCCCGTTGGGCACACAGAATTTATGTCCTGTCTACAGTCATATGCACAGGCCCAACGTGCGACAGCACACCAACGTGTGACAGCAAGGATACCATGCAGCTGTGGACAAGTCTACATAGGGACCACCAAACGCAGCATTGCCCAAACACGAATCAAGGAACATGAAAGGCACTGCAGACTACTTCAACCAGAGAAGTCAGCCATAGCGAAGCACCTGATGAACCAACCTGGACACAGCATATTATTTGAGAACACAGAAATGCTGGACCACTCTCACAACCACCATGTCAGACTACACAGAGAAGCCATTGAAAATCCACAAGCATGTGGACAATTTACAGAAAGGAGGAAACCATGAAAATGAACAAAATCTGGCTACCAGTATTAAAAAACTCTAAAATTACAACAGCAAAACAACAGAGAGGAAACAATCAGGGACATCTAATCACCTCTCAACAAAAGATTGCCCCAGGCACTGCCAGGCCATCAAATGCTAATCAAGGTGGTCAGTTGAAACCTTCACACCTAGCTCCAGCAGACAAGAGTCCTTTGTCCCACCCTGGTCATTCCACAGATATATAAACCCTTTTTCCTAGTTCCAACAGACCTCACTACCTCTGAGGATGCTTGCCATAGATGCAGGCGAAACGTCAGGAGAGAAATGCCTTTAGAACATGGCCATATAGCCCGAAAAAACCTACAACAACCCAGTGATTCCGGCCATGAAAACCTTCGACAATACATTCCCAGAATAATGGCTGACACTGATTACAGACCAAAGTGAGTGACCACATATGCGAACTGCGTTGAACACGATTTTACCTTGGCAATTTGGTATATATGTATTTTATCTATATTTTATCTATCTATTTATTATTATTCAAACTTATATGCCGCCACTCCCCTGGGGCTCGGAGCGGCTTACAAGAACAGGCTAAAATCTAACACAATTTAAAACAATTTAAAACAATTAAAACAGCAATATCAAATATCAAAGGCCTGTCGAAACAGGTATGTCTTACATGCCCTGCGGAAAGCTGATAAGTCCTGCAAGGCACGGACTTCAGGTGGCAGAGTATTCCAGAGTGATGGTGCCACTGCTGTAAAGGCTCTGCGTCTGGTTGCTGTTAGACGCAAGGTCTTGACACTGGGAATTTCCAATAAATCTTGGTCCTCAGAACGGAGGGATCTCTGGGGTTGGTAGGGGGTGAGGCGGTCCCTCAGGTACATTGGCCCCAGACCATGCAAGGCCTTAAAGGTGTATTTTAATCTTGTATTGTTGTATGATGTTTTGACTTGTATTAGTAGCATTGAATCCATGCTGTAAGCTGGTCTGAGTCCCTCTACGGAGGTGAGAAGATCGGTATATAAAAGTTTTAAATCTATACATATAATAAAGGTGAAAGTTTGTATGTGGAGGACAAAAGTGTGGCGGTGCGACGGGAGGAGTATGTGCCAGCGTTTTGATTGGCCAGCCTGAAAGTTCCAACATTGTGATTGGCTGCCACAGTGGTGCTATTTGCATATGGTCTCTGATTGGCCAGCTTCAAGAGGAGCCCCTGGTGGAGAAAAGAGTTCATGACAGAAACGGGGACATGAGAAGGAAATTTGCATATGGTCTCTGATTGGCCAGCCTCAATTCCAAGATTCCGAGACGACAAACAGAGGAAAGGAAAAGGCCAGAGGGGGCTGAGTCAGACAATTACCAATACAGACCAGACTTGGCACACAGAGCCCCCATGACCCACTCGACATCCTACTGTAGTTTGGAGGAGGATGAACCATGGATGATGGGACTTGCAGTACCATCACTCACATTCTGAGACCGCTGTTAACCTCATCCAATGACTGATCAGGACCAAACTTGGCACATAGACCTCTCATGACCCACTTTACGTCCTGGTGTGGTTTGGCCGGGGATGGACCATGGATTATGGGACTTGCAGTACCTTTGCTCAATTCTTGAGACCACTGCAACCCTCATCCAATTACCGATAAAGACCAAACTTGGCATACTGAGTCTCCATGACGCACTCTACATCCTGGTGTGGTTTTGAGGAGGATGCACCATGGATGATGGGACTTGCAATACCTGCACTCCTTTCATAAGACCAATACAACTGCCAACAATGATGGATCAGGACCACAATTTACACAGAGAGCCCGCATGACCCACTCTACATCCTGGTGCGGTTTGGAAGAATTTGTCAATGGATGATGGGACTTGCAGTCACTTCACTCACTTCCTGAGACCACTGACTGATCAAGACCAAATTTGGCACACAGATCCCCATGACCCACTCTACATCCTGGTGCACTTTCGAGGAGGACAGAGCATGGATGATGGGACTTCAAGTACCTCCACTCNTTTCGAGGAGGACAGACCATGGATGATAGGACTTCAAGTACCTCCACTCTCTTCCCAAGACTGCTGCAACCCACATCTAATGTCCGAACAAAACCAAACTTGGCACACAGAGCCCGCATGACCCACTCTACATCCTACTGCGGTTTGGAGTAGGGCATACCATGGATGATGGGACTTGAAGTACCCCTACTCGCTTTCCGAGACTGCTGTGACCCTCAACAATGACTGAACAACACCAAACTTGGCACATAGACCTCTCATGACCCACTTTACGCCATGGTGTGGTTTGACTGTG